TGCACATTATCCTAATTAAGGGGAGATGCCACTTGGAAAGAGAGTTGCATTAATATATAGCCTAGGCAAATAAAATGTTTGCTCTATATATAGGCTTTTATGATGATTTTAAGTTTGTGATTGCTTTTTTAGAAAGTTGCACAGTTTTTGCTTTATGCCATGACAATGTGTAAAGTATACTTAGTGAAAGCTCATCTAGGAAGAAAATATATGTTTTTAAGACAATATCTTTTGTCATAAGAGCTTGGCAATCATGGTAGCATGTGGCTTCAGTGAAGGCCTCATGCGAAATGCAATGGCAAGCAGCCAGGTGACGACTGTCCAGGATTTTTTTGTCATAAAAGCAGAGAAACTAAACTTGTAAAAGCAAATAAAAAAATATGTCATATTGGAAAAAATATAATTTTTCGATTCACACCTCCTATTAACATTTCAATTATTGAAACCTATAATTGCATATACTCCAGCTGACAAGTTGAGATTCGGCACTAGTAAGGAAGCATTTCTGTAGCAGAAATCTTTAGAGTGGCATCACTTTCGCAGAATACTTGCCCCAATAATGTGCTGAAAGTGCAGTGCTGTCAACGAGGCTTATTTATGTGATACTGTAAAGACACTCTTGGGAAACTAAACCAATGTTGTGTAATGCAACAGCACTGTTTGAGCCCACTCTCTTTCATGCTTGTTTTATTAGCACTTGTAGCCTAACTCATGTTTAACCAATAAGACCAATCTGCAACTCTCCTACACAAATACCACAGTATCATCTATGGTTTTACATAATAAAAACACCCCTTCGATGCATTAATCCTTGCAGACATATATTTATTCACTTACTTATTAGAATACTGCTGGTCTAGATTCCGAACCTTACCCAGTATATAGTGAGTTACAAGTCATTGCAAAGAAAAAAATAAATACATGATACACATACAAGGCATAGGTTTTACTAAACAACATATATATAGTATGCATACCATCTATAACAACCTCGCAAACCTCAAGTTGATAAATTGGTGCCTTTTCTTCCATTCACAAAACAATACTTTTCTTTCTAGATCATTTTCTTTCTCTTTTTTTATTTTACCAGCTATTCAACACAGAATTTTAGAAAGAGTGTGTGAGGCTCATGATATCAATTCTGCCTCTTTAAAAAGCTGCAGAAAATAACTAATGTGGTGAGCCATGTTTTATTAACAAAGATAAATTAATATTGGTAATTATTCTGTAGCATTACACTGTTGTACATTACACTGTACCCATTACATTATTGATGCCACATGTGTATGGAAAATTCTTGAGAACAGCACAGAGTTGTTGATTTTAAAAAGTGTGAAAGGACATTTTAATATTTAGTGGCTAAGGCACTCAGCTGCTGACCCGCAGGTCACGGGATCGAATCCCGGCTGCGGCGGCTGCATTTCCAATGGAGGCGGAAATGTTGTAGGCCCATGTGCTCAGATTTGGGTGCACGTTAAAGAACCCCAGGTGGTCGAAATTTCCGGAGCCCTCCACTACGGCGTCTCTCATAATCATATGGTGGTTTTGGGACGTCAAACCCCACATATCAATCAGGACATTTTAATATTCTATCTAATGTTTTCTTAGCCTTCCCCCACCCCCCCTAAAGAAAAAAAGTTGGCCGTGAATTTTCATAATATGAAAGGTCGCCCTTTGCCAAAAATTGGATGGAGAGATGCAGAGGCATAATAATGTCCATGAATTAAATTACGATAATATTTTTAAGCACAGATAACCAAAAGTAGGCAACATTTGCAAGTGCTCGTATTACTAAAGTACTAAATATGTCACAATATGCATTTCACATGATGCATATCAATATTTATTCAATTAAAGAAAGGAGCTCAGTGACTTCATGTAACTTTAGACACGATGCACTTTAATCCATTGATGTCAGGAGCTGTTCTGCCATGTATGCATATTCTTGCAAACAGTTGGTAAGAGACTGATCAGACTGGCACAATATGATTTATGCAATTCGTGTTACGTCATCTATGATATGTTTATGAAATGAAAGCTACGGCATCTTGTTATGTAAGCTATTCATTTAAGGGCACATCATTTTACATTAGTCATGCATGCCTGCAATGCACAATCCAACAGGAGGTATTCATGCACGGCAGTCACCTCACTCATGGTCTCGCACATGAACGTGATTGTCGGATTTCAACCAAGGAGCTTGGAAGCATTTGTTACATTGATATTTTCACAAAAAAATGACCTAGAGAGTTGCAGCGCGGCCAAACATCAGGCCGTCATATGCTGGGTTGCTGAACAACCATGGCTATGGCAGTGCACTCGCTGGCAGGGCTTGGCGAAAATAGGTTAGTTAATACACCCCTTTGAAGCCAAGTTGATTAAATGACTCTAACAGCTTTGTGACATTGATCATATCAATGTTAAACGAAACTACCCAGGGGCATTATGTCAATTGAGCCACATGAAACATGGATAGTTCGTTGTTCATCTTTGTCACATGTGGATGTGAAGCATATATTTTCCGATATACAGAAAATTATTTTAACAAATATGCTGACATCATGGTGTAGGACGGTGGAGTTAACACACTCAAAGTATTGTTAGGTAGAGAATGCTTTGCATTTGCACCGAAAATGTTCTAAAAGCCGAGTGTGCTCATAATTCTAAAAGATTTACTTCGACTTAGCTCAACAAAAATATAACCAAATGACATAGATGTTTAGCCACTAATGCGGGTAGCACACAAACTGTCATCGAATGAGCTGAGGTCGCTCAATCTACTGCTAGTCACGTGACTTTCAGTGAATTAGGTGACCGCTCAGGCAATACGTGCCCATAATTTGGTTATATTTTTCTTGAGTTACATAGGAGTAAGTCGTTTAGAATGATTTCCAGCACTCTCATACGGCGTTACAAGGCTATACAAATTTCAACTAGTGTGTGCAAAAATTTTACGCATATGTGAACATATTCTGAAAATAAAGCTGCATGTACTGCACCTGTATAGTACTTCCGAGTCAGCATACCATATGTGAAGTCTACTACATGCATGCAGCATCCATTCCGCAACTGCAACATTTGCCATGATAAAACTCTCACTTGATCAAAGTGTCACCGTGAAGCAAATATCTTCGTTTATCTGAACACTGTGACGAGTTACAGTTACAAAGACTATGTACTTCAAATGAACAGAATAAATATTCTAAGGGACTATATGATATAAAAAGCAGAGTAAATAGCTAGTAGATTTTCTTTTTGGTGCTTTTTTAATTAATTCTGCCAACTTTTTTTACATGAGCGAGAGGTTTCTTTTTCTTTTTTGGTAAGTGACCTCCACATCAAAGGCATCTACAGCTCACTGTCATCCCCTGCAGTGACAAGGCTAGCTATTCATGTGATGCAGCAACGCCTACCAAATGGAATGAAAATGCACTGTGTGATTGACACGACACAGCTGCCGCGCACACGTGACATGCTTGTTGGAAATGGCCTATCCACTGCGTCGGCTTAAAGCAAGGGTGTCTCGGTGACGTATACATACGGCCTCGGATGACGCATGTAAGGCACGCGCTGCTAAGAAAACGAAAACACACGCGCGCGCGGAAATGAAGTAAGTAAAAGTAACGGCGCGCCCGCTTCCTGGCCGTCAAAACGGGCGAAGCAGCTGATAATGCGACGCAGTGTAATACGCTGCATTGGCATAGCGCTGCAGTACATCGTTGGTGCAATCAGAGAAAGAACGCGCCGATAAGCTGGTTTAGAGATCAATGAGCCCCAATCTCGACCGAGTGCACGTAACCTTACCTTGCCTCGACAGCTGAGTCAGTCGGACAAACTTCGGCCTCTCCAGCTCATAGTCGGCGCAAGTGGCACACTGCGTGGACATCCTCGCAGTGTAAGTCTATACCGCAGATAGAAATTTGTCCAAGCCCCTCAGGATAGTCGCATTGACACGAAAAGCTCCACGATTCCCTGCGCTAGTGCGCACTCTATGCTGTTACCGGTCTACGGGGGGAAGAGAGTGTAACGATCCCGGAACAGGCCGAAAGTATGACCAGCCGTGCAAAGTAAAAAAGGTGAGGAAACGAGGCGCAGCGCGTCGTGGCAAAGAGATTAGAAAGAAGAAAAAAAATCGAATGAGCTGAAACCTCCCCAGCCACAAGCCAGGAGCACGGCCGTCACCCCCCTCGACGCAACCAGCGCGAACAACGCAGAGCGGATGTTGGCTCGTTGGAGATGCCGCGATTAAACGCCGCGACGTCGCACACACACTTGGCTACACTTGAACCCTGAGATGGTCCGTCGCACACAGGCGCCACGCAGCCTCGGCTGGGAGGAGACGTCTTTCACGGGGCAGATGAGAAACCGGCTCGCCAAGGTAGATATTTCGCCAGGAGAGAAGCGCGGATGCGTTTCACGCCGAGCACGTGTACTTACTATGTTCAGCGATGATGCAACACACCTCAGTTAGTTCCGGTTTCGCTTTTAAAAACACTTTTTTTCATTCATTCTTATTTTCTTTTTGCATTGAGCAAACCAATGTACAAACACTGTACTGTTTTTATATTTGAATGCATAAGAGTAAGGTTTTGGTTGGGCACATATTGTTTACACTTTGGGGGGGGGGGAGGGGGGGGGGAGGACGTTTAAATTTATCCACGTCATTTCACCTTGTGGGAAATGAGATGTGAAAGTACAGAGTATGAAAAAAATTCTTGAACGTCAATCTGGACGCCATCAGCGCACTGATAGCACGGGTTCTTCGCTTGCAGAGCGCTGTTGAAGGCGTGGAGAAAAATGGTTTTCTCCTCGTGCAAAATTATAGTAGCGTTATGCATGTAAACCACTATGGCGGAGCCCACAGAGGCCAAGGCCGCGGACGACAACAAATTGGATGGCTCTGCTGATAAGAGGTCGCAATCCCGGTCGTAATGCGCGCTGTCTGCACTGGAACCTTCCTCTGCGTTCGCCCAGATCCCAGACGGCGAAACGTTTGTGTTGTTGCCAAAGGACTAGCTACACAATGATAACGAGAAGGTGCAGGTGTTTTCCCCGCGACTGACATAGTTATTGGTGCCACAACAGGTCGCATAAAATGTCTAACAACTAGCACGAGGGCTCAGCCACCACACGTCACTTAATTGTGCCAATGCTATGTTAAAGCAAGGACTTCCCCTCACACTGAGACTCGTCCACAGCGCGCGCCTTTTCTCCGCCTAGAGTAACGCGCGCCAGTATTGCGCAGTAACGAGCATAATTTCAAATATTAATATTCTGACTGCTACTGCTTCGTACACTATCCTACCTAAAGTATTGCAGTAGGAGACTGCCTAGGATGTTAGGGTTTATTCGAAATGTGCGAACCCGCTGTTGGATCGAAGAAAATACCAAAACCGAGGTTGCAACGTCAGCTGGTCTGCCTACACTGCGCCGCTCGCCTCGTGCGCCCCCACCCTTCTCTTCTTCTCGTCCAAGATGGCGGCCGCCTCGCGGACAGAGCTCGGAGCCAGAGCCTACCCTTCGATTAGCGATGAATGGTGACGCCAGGACTGCATCGCCAGTCCGCGCCGCCACGGCCGTCAAGAGGCCCCCCTGCGACGACGGCTGCAGCGACGTCGACGAGCGCCAGCCTTCGTCGGCGAGCGGCAGCGGTGGCCCGGCCGCCAACAAGCGGCGCGCAGCCGCCGCGATCGAGGTGAGTCGCTTTTGGAACGAGCCGACCTCGACGCCGCGGCTGAGCCGTCGCTTCTACGGCGTCGACTGCCAGGTGCTTGCCAAGCGACTTCTGGGCAAGATCCTAGTGCGCCGACTGGCCGACGGCACGGTGCTCAAGTGCCGCGTCGTCGAGACCGAGTGCTACCTAGGCTGCGACGACCAGGCTTCGCACTCGTACAACGGCCGGCGCACCGAGCGCAACGAGCCCATGTTCATGGACCCGGGCACGGCGTACGTGTACGTGGCGTACGGCATGTATCACTGCTTCAACATCTCCAGCGAGGGCGATGGTGCCGCGGTGTTGCTGCGCAGCGCGGTGCCCCTCCAGGGCGTCGACCTGATGCGGCGCCTGCGCGGCGCTCGCCGCAAGGATGCCGGGCGCAAGCTCAAGCTGTTCGAACTGTGTAACGGGCCCTCCAAGCTGTGCCTCGCCATGAACATCACCAAGGATACCCTGAACAAGGAGTTTCTACCCGACAGCCAGGCGCTGTGGCTGGAGCGAGACGGCGAGGATGACGTGCCGTCAGAGGAGATCGTCGTTTCGCGCCGGGTCGGCATCGAAGGCGCAGGCCGTGAGTCGGCGGCCAAACCGCTGCGCTTCTACCTGAGAGACTGCGACTGCGTCAGTGTCAGGGACAGGGTGGCTGAGACACGGGCAGCAGGCGCCGTCGCACAGCAGGAGCAGGTCGTCGCGGCGCTACAGCCGCCCGTCCCCTAGCTGCCGCACATTTACTAGGACGTGTTTTTTCACGGACCCACGGCGACGAAATGTGTGGCCAGCAGTGATCTCCCACACCACCACGCCCCGATTCGCGTCGCTCCGATGTAGGTGCTGATACTTTTTTTTCTAAGTGCGTCCGTGTATGTAATGGGTCGTTGATCGACTGCACGGAAGACGCCGCCGAGATCGACCGCCTCCGAGCGAACAGATTGCTTTAGAGAGGACTACACCCCAGCTGCTTTTCCCGTTCGGTTATTGTTACGGCTCCTACGCCTGCCGGTAAATTTGTACGCTCACGAAAAACTTCAGATACAACAACATCAGTATCTCTACCTCCGCTTTTAACCAAATGCCTAGGCAGGCGTCTTTTTGCTTCTTTGATTTTCCACCCCTGTTGTTGCTACGTTCCGCGATCCCTCCCCCACAGCCGCCTCTGCGAGTCAACCTTGTTTGTTGTTGTGTGTGTGTGTGTGTGTGCGCGTGTGTGTGTGTGTGTTGCGCATTGAGCGAGATCTGCGCATGCACCTGTCGTCAACTGGTGAAGAAGCCGGTGTTACGCGATTAGAAAAATAAAGTGACTCTTGCATTTGGTGGTGCCGCTGTGTTGAAGTTGCCGAGCGTGAGCTACGTGTCCTCTAGCGCATGTGCTGCATATGCATTCGAGCGCCACGCCCGAATGTTCTGTGATCCTCATTTGCGCGAGCTGCCGTGTGCTATCGACTTGAGCGCGCCGTCCCGTTCATTGTTTGTGCGAGGGGAAACCTCAGCTGACAGCGGCAGCCTATCGTTCTCCGCTGTTTACTGTCCAAACAGCCGTCAGCCACACGGGTACAGCAGCTGATGGCTAGCCAAGTGCGCAGTCCCCTCTCTATGCTTTCCTTCCGCCGCCCGAAACGGAAAAAAAAAAAACGCTTCGGAATGCCGCTTCGTTGGCGACACGCCCCACAGATGGCTCTACATGCGCAGATTTTTTTCTTTCTCGTGTTGCGCGTATTTTGCAGCAAGCGCTACGCTGTATTAGTCTGCTGTAACGGCTTGGTGAGCGCTCTTATATAACCTAGTCTAAATTGAGTGCCACGGACCTTTCGAGAGCTCTGCAGCAGTGTACTAGACCTCTTTCCCGGCAAGGAATTTCCGCAGCTCCCAGAGATTCTGGGCATTGGAAGTCTGGCGAATCGTACGTGGTCACTCAAGAACCTAGCAGCGTCGAAAATATATTTGCACATATAGACAAAATAAAAGAAATAACTTCCACAACCGCAAACACAGCCTCTTCAGTGTGCGTCTGAAACAGGCAAATAGGCTTGGCTGCTTGCGCTACCGCTTTAAGGGTTTTACGAATTCGTTCGTACACTTGTAATGTTGTTTACATTGCGTACGCAACCTCTGGCTTAGTCTTCGCTGCAGCCACAGGCTGAAAAACTTCTGCCACGAAACAAATGAGCCTTTGAACAAGGCGCAATTAATAAGGGACGAGGTAGCAATCGTTTATTGTGATATATAAATAACACCGTGTCAGAGTGTTACATAGCTGCAGCGGCTGCATTTTCGATGGAGACGAAAATGCTGTAAGCCCGTGGGTTCAGATTTGGGCGCACGTGAAAGAACCACAGGTGGTTGAATTTTTCGTAGACCTCCGCCATGGCGTCTCTCATAATCATATGGTGGTTTTGGGGCGTTAAACCGTACATATCAATCAATAGGGAGGTTTAGAATAGCGCGCCGCAAGCCCTTGCGGTGCGGTCACTGCGCATGCGTCGTAACGCGAGCCGCCGTTTGCGCTTGCGTCCCGCCCGCAGAAATTTCGAAGTAGCGTGCGGCCCGCAACACGCTGTGTGTAGCTTCCGTGCATTTGGGCTTGTGGGGGGCTAAAAAGTCGAGACTTTTTCGGGGGGGGGGGGGGGGGGTGAGCAAACGCTATTCTAAAGCTCATAGCGCCCGGAACTAAAGCAACGCCCGAAAGGCCTGCAGACCTTATTCTAAATCTCCCTAATTAGAGTTGCGTGCCACTTTTTATAGCTACAGAACCCAGTACTCGCACTTATGTGGTAGGCGGAGGAAACTGATCCGGATACCCGTGTGCAGCGTATACGGTGACTGTTTCGCATGACCATAATTACAATGTATTGCTTTCCTGTCGCACTTGTGTACGCGACAGGAGCGTAATCAGAAGTTCACCTCTCGAGGAAGAAGGGGATTCGCCAACTCTCTGTCAGCATGTGTGTGCGTGTGTAAATATGAAAAAGAAATATCGGTTTGAGGTGGGGGTGCTTCCGAACTCGCCAATGGCGTACGATGACCGTGCAACAATGTGCTTATGACTATGCGCATGAGAACCTGCATTCTCTATTGCAAGGTAAGTGCTCAAACACTGCGTGTTCTCGGACCATATGGATTCCAATGACAGTGAAGTATGATTGACAGTGACGCCTGTAAGCAGCCAGCGTTAATACAAGAGGGCGTATGTCCCTTAGATTCAATTACTAATTAAATGGGAATAAGTGCTTCGCGTTACGTGTGCCGCACTCTTGGGCAACAGCAGCTCGAGTGCGAGAAAACGCCATCGTTGTGTGCAGGGCGGCCATTGTAAAAATAAATGCACACCAACAGGAGGAGCCCAATGGTGCGGCAGTCAACCCACACTCGCGTCGGCGCTGCCGGGTGGGCGCCGTGCCAGCTCCGTCGCTCCCATTTCGTTCTTGCGTTTTTCCAGCAAGCTCGGCGGTTCGTCTCTCGTTACCCGAGTGGCTCCGCGTCGATGTTTTGCTTGGCAACAGTTGATTAGTCCCGTCCGCCTCTTTCGGGCGTGGTAGTGTGTGCAATCACCGGTCTCCACATCGTATGTACGTGGGATGAGCACGCGTAAAGAGTTTTGCTCGCTAACCAGGCTCCGCTTTGTAACCAAATGTGCTCAAGGACAGCGTAAAAACGGAGCGCGGAGGAACTGCCGCTGCTGCACAAACTAACGCTGGCGCAGACGGCAAATGCGAGGCCAGAACCGGGAAGAAGAAATATAAACGATACGCCTCCGCGAGGTGTCTCACCTTTCTATGTGCGAGCATAAATATTTCCTTCTCTTTCCGTGATGGTCGAATAAATATATCTTTGAAAATCCTAGAAAATTAAATTGCGCGCTTGCAGCTGTTTTTTGCCCCGTTTGGGCAGCAATTGATCAATTTTCATGGCCGTAATCATTCGATACAATTGGCAGTGGCGTGTAGGTGCGCGCGCAGGTGGGGCTCTCTGAGCCCGCGTTATTTGGAGCTAGACGACAGGAGCTCAGAAAGACGAAAACCGCTAAACTGTGTTTCATTCGCTAGTCCTCCTTTAGCCTCTCTGTCCTCGCTGCGCTTTTGTCGTCATCAACTTGCACCAACATTCCTAAAAGGCACTTGCGAAGTAAACCAGCACGAAAGACGCTAGTACAACAGCGCTCAATTACTGAGTTTTATTCGATATTGGTGTCTACATAGGTCCAGACAAAAGCACTCCTCATCATGGAGGCCGCGGTATTGTTCAAGGTTTCACTGCAACGCCTTTCCGAAAGAATAAGTGATCTTTCAATGCATGCAAAAATGACAATGAAGAAATTTGTTTCCTGCAGCCTACCCAGCTTTCCAGGGTGCAAATATGCGTTGGAAGTATATAGACCGCCCTTGGACGGTGATATCAGATATCCTCGGCTGGCATTATTGGCGACCATTTCCAAGGCGACTGACGCGCACATATCAGACAATGACGACACTGGTCCTGCTCAGTTGAGATATGTGGTTGACATGTCTTCGCCCTTATATGATTAGGCGGGCGCCTCACCCCATAAAGCAAAGGAAAAAATCCCGCCGTACCCACGAAGTGAATGATGATGAGTGGGCGAAGCTCCGGAAATAAATCTGGCGTTCTTCCACCGGGTGGATCCCAGGCAGCTGATCTAGTTTGGGCGGATAGTGGTATCCGCAAACGTCACACTTATCGCGGGGACTTTACCCATCACCAAAGAGTCATGGCAATAGAACACACTCTCTACTCACTGATCTTCTTTACTGCATGGTGGCGGCGAACTCCCGCTTCGAACGGCGTTGGCACGGAATCGCTCGTTTCTAATGCTGGAGATGGTGGTCAAATTGTTATCGAACAAACCTTACAGCTTTGGCCAAAACTGCAATCTAGCATCGGGGCGGCTAAGCTCAGGTGGCGATCGCTTCAGGCGCTTAGTTGCAGCATCCCGCACCGCTTCAGCATCCGCTTACCGCCGCTTCGCGGGCTCTCAGCTCCGAGTACGCTTTTCTGTGTGCACGTTTCGCCACCCTTGCGCGAGCCATCGCGCCTCTGGATTGGTGACTTGTCGTTGTTGACGGCGAGCTTGTGAGGCTCCGGTTTCTCGAGCTCTCACCTCCGAATCTTGACGGCAAGCCTGCGCTGCAACCACCTTACGAACCCTCCGCTCCGCCACCTTGTAATCGTTCATAATACTATTGTCGAAGCGTACAGACTGACAAATGTTGAGAGAGATAGAAAGTGCGCCTATCAAACTAGAGCACACGAGGCAGTGGAGTGAGCGCCGTAGAGCCGCTTTTGAGTGTAGTGAGAGGCTCGGTGTATTTCACGGCTGACGGTTGTTGACCCGTCCGCGATGTCCTCTCTTCGACGGCGACCGATCGGGGCCTCGTCCGCGGACTTAGCTAACCGTCTGCCAATCTTCTACTGTTCTCTCAATAGATTTACTTCTCTGTTTTAGTCCCTCCTTATTCCTTCCCTTGTGAACCACTGCTGAGGTTTCGCACTCTGCATTGGTCACTTCGTGTCGCGCTCTGCGGGTTTCTTCATTTTCTGCTTAAATATTGCACCCCTCCCCCTTCCACAGAGATCGCTCAATATCGACTTTGGGGCCCATGCTGAAACTCGCATTGAGTGAAGCGGGTGTGACATAGATAGGCGTCATGTTTTAAACACTAGCTTGATGCTGATGAAGAAATTCGGGGTTTCTGCTTGGCAGACAAATCTTCATATGTAATACATAATAAATTATAACGTCAAGATGCGCTTTCCTGCAAATTCAGGACCGAAGCACCCCCCTTTCCAATCAAAATTTTAAGTGACGTGTCTGGCACGAATCGGACCGTAGAGTTGGTCTGATGTCTGCACTTTTGATGCACGCAGTCAGCCGAACCACATTTGCGACTAATTTTGTTCGCATTAACCAGAGACAGTCCTGGCACTTCATTCGCGTCGACGTTATCGAGGCGGCAGGTGATCAAAGGGCTGTCTAACAAGGCACGCATGTATATGCACCAACGAACTGTTTTACATTCGGAAAGAAATGCGCGTAAGGCTGCTATCGGCAGTTTCGGTTTCGTTTATGTGCGGTCGTCGCGCCATCTCTGCGAGCGCGATGAGAGCCGCGCGAAAGCGTGCTCCTCTCCTCCGCGCACCCTCCTCTCCTCTCGGCCCCGCCCGCCCAACACAAAACGTCCCAAACGCGGAGAGTTTGGCGAAGGCCCTTGACAGCCAGCACAACACTCCACTTCAGCCCGTGCGGTAGTAGCTGTTCAGGCGCTGCACCTCGGGCACCGCAATAGTCGCCGGTGTGGACGACACCACTCACAGACGCCTCACCACATTGTAGTCCAAACCGTCGGCGGGAATTGCAAGAGTGAACATCCCGACGATGTCGAGCACCGTGCATCCCACCGTTTTGCTGCTGGTGCTGCTGGCGGCGGCGGCCTCGGCAGCCCGCCACGAGTGTGGTCCCTGCGACTTGGACCGGTGCGAGCCCCCTCGGGGCCAGTGCCTGTCCGGCATTGTGAAGGACGCGTGCGGCTGCTGCATGGTGTGCGGCCAGCGTGAGGGCCAGCGCTGCTACCACCGCTCGGTGAAGGGCTCCCTGGCCGACGGACCCTGCGGCGAGGACCTCGAGTGCCGTCCACGACGCGACCTGGCGCCCGGAGACCCCGCCGAAGCCCTGTGCGTCTGCTCGCGGCCGGAGCCCGTGTGCGGCTCGGACGGTGTCACCTACGACAACGTGTGCCAGCTGACCGAGCAGCGGTACAAGATGAGGAACGGTCTGGAGGCCGCTTCCAGGGGACCGTGCTATACCGGTGAGCATACTATACGTATTATACTTCTTCTGCGTCACGACAGACTGCGGGTCTTCGTGAGTGGTCGTCTGCACAATAGGGTGGAGACAGAATGGACAAGAGCGGGAAAAGATATATTCATTCTGCGGAATGAAGATTCATTCAAATGAAGCCGCGGATTTGATTTTTTAAAGCAATGCTCATCTTAAGCTTTCTTCTGCGACTTTTCTTAGTTTCAGTAGTGGCCAAGTTACATATGCCGGATGTATCTAAACGGAACGTGGCGATTATAGCGGGTAAATCCTCATTTACTATGTCTTCGAAAATTTCTTGATGTGGCTTAGTCAAGGCTATTAGTGGAAACCGTTGAACGATCACTGCAGGCATAAGTGGGGAGGAAAGGTGCTAGCTCTGCCCCCGTACATTAACTTAATTAACAGAGATGGGGGGGGGGGGCGCTGTGATGGATCTGAAGCGGAACTGCGCGCGCCTACGATGGCAGATATTTAAATCTGCCTATATAATCGCCGCGTGGCTTTCGCATTGATTTTTGTAATATACCCGCATCAGTATCGGCCTTTCGTTTTTTTTTTCAATTCTTAGCGCGAAAAAAATATAAAAAATGCTTGCCTTGCACCTCTGCATGAGGTACAAAAACAAGAAAGAGAATTCACTTACACTCTTAAAACAAATAAGAAAAAAGCTTGTAACCACGAGCAAATAGTAACAACAGCTGTTACTAACTTTCATAGTCTATCACTGACTTCTTGAGGCCTCTTTACTAACTATGTGAGCAGGCACTTGAATGTTATAATGGCTACTACCTCTTGCGTACCATTAGTAACTTCTTGCTATGCAGCTGTTGTTATTCTAATGAAGTTTTGCAATCTATATATTCACTAGCTCGATAATTTATTAAAGTTCATTGAAGCGATAATAAGAAGCTTAGTACCGCGTCTTGGGTCTTCTACATTGCAAAATATAAAGGCCACGTTTCAATTACCACGCACGACTAATGCGCTGTCTAGGTATAGGCGCATAAAGCTTAAACTATTAATCCTAAAGCCAAGCCGTCCACCGGCACCAGCGGCGTTCCCCTGATACCCGTGGAGCCACTAATTCATTATACGTAATGTATAGCATTGTCGGCGTTCATGTGTGCTGTTCTCGTTGACGAAATCGTGTACATAATAACCTAATGCTATATCGGAATGTTGATGCTCGTGAATGTGATCGTTATAAAAACGGCTGATTCATGGGGCGAAATGATCGCGGTGACTGTAGGCTATTTGTGTGTGTGTGTGTGTGTGTGTGTGTGTGTGTGTGTGTGTGTGTGTGTGTGTGTGTGTGTGTGTGTGTGTGTGTGTGTGTGTGCATTTACAATTGCTACCTACTTTCAATAGTTAGTAATGGGAAGACTAGTTACCGTCACTAAATGCGTTTGTAATGCCGAGGGCGGTAACAGTTACTAACCTACTTGTTTTAAAGTTCAATTAGTAACAGGGTAGTAGCATTTGTGACAAATTAGTCTTGTAGTCAGTGAACAGAATATTTTAAAAAAAAGTGTATCCGCCCTGCAGCGCTGAAAATGGCAAATGATTGGATCAAAACAGAATCGCGGAGACGGCGCCAAGAAACAAGTATCATTCTGCAAGCTAGACACATTTTCACGAGGGAAAGAAAGAAGCGCCGCCATGCTGGGGTGTGGCACGAGGAGGCAAACGCTGACGTCGCAGCCTCGGCGGTGATCTAGGCCGTGGCGGTCGCATTTCGACGGAGGCGAAGTGCTATAGACGCCATGTCAATGCACCGCATGGTCGAAATTACTCCCGATATGGCGTCTCTCTTATAGTATCGTAGTTTTGGCACGTAAAACCCTATAGATGTTGTTATATTATTGCAACTTCGGCAGTGCATACCTGGGTCACGCCTGTTTAGCCCAGGGAGGTCTATGGCGGGGCTTCAAGAGACGTCTGTAAAAAGGTCTGTAAGGAAGCATGGCTCAGCGCAACTCCTTCTGGACAACGGCTTTCAAACCGCGAATCTCTCGCTTGCGGCCCGCACATGGATGTTCGTGCCACTTTTTTTCATTTTTATTTTTATGAGAGGTATCTTCTTGAGCTACACTGTCATGACTGGTCTACAGGATTGCTTTCGTGAGGCACCCCATGTGGTCGCCACGTGGTGAAGCGTAAACGTGAAACAAGATAAGTGTTTCAAAATCGGCCTCCAGATCCATCTTACGCACACTGTTGTGTCTTTTCTTTACATATGTGGCTTCGCACATTGAGGGGGGTGCATAGAGAAAGCGGGCTGACAAAAAACAACGAAGAAAGGAAAACAGAGTTATGGAGTCTCGGTCAGGCGCGGACCCACCTTCAGCTATCGTGTTACCGCGATGGTACAACTGTGCATGGCGCCACCGCCGTGGTTTTTCGACTTCGGGGAAAGAATGCCGATATGTGGTGTGATTAGACAGTGAACGAGGCTGAGTTAATCGCGCCCGACAGTGAAGCTGGAGAAACGCTACGTGGAAAGTGAGCGGAAAGGACAGAAGTTTAGTCACCCTGTATCTGTGTGTTTGTGTAACTTTTATGTAACACAGTTTGTGTTCATGTAATTGTTAAACGTTGTCGACGTGTCTTTAGTTGCTCACAACCTATCCCGTGATAGTAATAACACACACACACATGAACACAAAAGAATAAAGAGGGAAGCGACGACGCGAGCGCAACCTACTTCTTACGAGTTCGTATGTGTGCGATTTAACAACTCGCCCAAGTAGCCATATTACTCAAAATTTTACTGATTTTGGAAGTCGGTATATTCAGACGTGGTTGGATGGAATCCTGTGTCCAAATTCTCTTCAAAAATGATCCATACATGAGATGTTGGAAAGGTTTCCTTTTCAGAGGTATAGTGTTTGCTGACAACATGCTAAAACAATCCCCTCCCACCTCTCCCGCTTGTATTATGACATGGACCTTGAGAGACTAAAATTTGCGACTGCGGCCATAGATGAGTTTGAGACCCATGTTAATCTAGAGTGTTGCTCGATGTCATTGGTAGGAGATGAAAAGGTGTGGTGAAAAACAGAAGAAATGAAAGAGAAGAGAATTTCTTAAGAAAATGTGTACCCACAACACCAAGAACCAGACCGAGGAACGATCTCCACCCCCACCCCCCCTTCAGAAAAACCGGTGCATGCCCAGCTGATCCCGGAATCGAACCCAGCTCGTCCCGCACTAGAGATGGGTGCAATAACTCGTTGCTATCATCTGCCGTGTACTTTTTTTCTATGCGAAGCATTCTACCAAGCTAAGTATTAGTCTGTGTTGCTTGCTTGGAAGCAATTACGCATGTGTCTTTGTACTGCACCGTGTATTTATGTTGGCGGTGCCTTGCGCCAGCCCGCATGGCTGATATACGCCACCTGACGACAGACAACTTTTGTGTACTTCCCCATAATGCTCTCACTATATGAACAATATAAAGGTCTTTAGGCGCCTGGAGGATGCGCGCAGCTTGTGTGATGTGTTGCTTGTAAGGACGCTGGTTAAGTAAGGACGACAATGGCATTGAGCGAACGCAACGCTGACAACGGAAATGAAAGAGAAAGAAGAGAGGCGAGTAACCCTCGTGGCGCGAGAATCCTGAAAAAGAAAAGAGAGAGAAGGAAGAAAAGTGCAGGAGCAGCGCGTGGGGGAGACGCAGAGATCGGCGGCAGGCACTGCGCCGTGCTCCCGACCGCGTTGCAGAAATTAGGTGCCTTTTCTCATCTTCTAACCACTACCATCACCAGATTGGCGGAAGAAACAGCCATGCGGAGAAGAAACCCTGGCTCCTGCTGATAGCCTGTATCTCTGAAGGGTTGACGGAAGCTCTCGGGTGGTGTACCTGGGCATCAGTCGTCTTGCGGTACACCGACGATAACCGTGCACTCACAACACCCCAGCTGGCTACCAGACTACCAGAGAACACCAAGCCCCGACTCGAAGCGTCGCGTCTGGGACGCTCCTGGTTTCTCCGACTGGCACCAACGGCGATGTGTGCGCCTTGGCTGTGTTTTCCTTATACGAACTGTGAACTGAGTATATGCTTATCGATATCTACTTAATGTACATACCGTAAGTATTGTGTTGAATATGGTGTATAACGCGAGTTGAGTGTGTGTGTGTGTGTGTGTGTGCGTGCGTGCGTGCGTGTGTGTGTGTGTGTGTGTGTGTGCGTGCGTGCGTGTGTGTGTGTGTGTGTGTAATTCACTGGACCGTGACAGCTTGTTAACTTGACGGGCAAAGCAGCGATGGCTATAGTGGCCCTGTACTTAAAGTCCTTATGTTTTCACAAAGACGTGAAAAAATCTGGAGGCTTCAGCTGTACCTTAGCGATGAAAGGACCACTCCTTCGACCTTTTAAACGCCCACTCTTTCCATACGCGTTCGCGATCGCTCCAAATGGCCTGTAAGTGCATCAAAAAGGTAAAACAATAAAAATAAACTCAGTGAGCGATGCTTGCAAAAATAAATAAACAAATAAATACGCCCCCTCCCTACACAAAAAGAAACTTTATAAAGGACGCTTAAAAAGGTTCTGCAACACTTTTTTGAGCAGCCATGGAATGAATTCACTATAAGAACTTATTGCCTCACGAATTCACTGAATGGTTGCATATTCAAAAAAAAAATCACAGCATATTCATGCTGTGAATGATGTTGAGTGTGGTGAAGCGCTGGAGGATTTTGTCGCTAAACCGTGAATCATCCGCGAATATCGCCCACTAAATCACCAAAGACGGGACAAACACTGCATATATTTATACAAGAAATTTTATTATTCGTAAGTTCCGTCTTCTGTTCCCTCTTCATTATAACGGCTTTATAGTCGGTGAAGCGGTGGATCGGTGATTCGACGTACTGGGATGTTCGCAAGGACGATGATTGATTGATATGTGGGGTTTAACGTCCCAAAACCACTATATGATTATGAGAGACGCCGTAGTGGAGGGCTCCGGAAATTTAGAC